ACCTGTGACCGGCATCTTCAGAGTGCAGGTGCTGGCGAAACGTTAGGAAACAGAACTTCAAGAACACAGACACACAGCCCGGAAGACCCATACCAGCCAAACCAGTTGGAGTTTGTGTTGATTTTTGAAGCCAGGAGTATATAACTGAACTTCTCAAGAGAGATCCTTCCCCAAGGTTGGGGCCACTAGCACAAAGGCCTTATTCCTTACTAAGGGAATATCCTGAGAACTTGTTCTAAAGGATGGACTTGTGATGTAAACTATAATGGGCAGGATGGATTTCCTTTAAGGAAGAGCATTGAGATGAAGTTCTAGGACATCTCTTGAAAATAGCGATCCAGACAGCTTCTGATCAGAGCTTAGTTGAGTGTTGGATAGGTTTCTCGGCTATGCTTGCTTGAGTACCATGAAAGAAATGGGATATATATTAAATTAATAATTGGGGATGATGGGTCTTCCAGTGCCTTTCCCCATGAGTTCCTTTTCCCCAAAGATCAAGTACTTCAAACCGGTTCCTAAAGGTTATAATACTAATTTTCCTTTTCTTCCCTCCTTCCCTCCCTGCCGCCAAAGGATTATGAAGCTTTCTTTGAAGCTAGAGAGAATAATGCGGTCTATGCTTTTTTAGGCTTGACTGCCCCACCTGGTTCAAAGGTAGGTATTGCTCCAAATCCTTTTCCATTCCTTCCATTTCAGTCAGATATTCAATTATGTATATTTGTATTTAAAACCTTTTAGATGGGAGGCTGCTTATTACAATCTTTACGTACTTACATACCGCTTTCCTAAGTCATTTGTATACCTCTTGCCCACCTGCCCACGACTGCTGTTGAACCCTTTTCCAGGTTGGGGGTGGGGGGAAAGAAGGGGTATTTACTAAGCACAAAATCCATGGGAAAACTCAAGGCAATGGGTGCCCAGGCCTTGCATTTGAAGACTGCCTGTGTTTCAGAGGTCTAAACGCAAGAGAAGAGTCATTCCCTCTCTTTTTTTAGCCGATGGTGAAATACTTAGAACTGGGTTGTCTGCTCCAGCAGCGATCGAAACGAATGCACGTGCCCAAGCTGCGGACGTCTCCTTTATTTTATTTATTTATTAAAAACAAAACCCAGCTAACCTTTCACTCATTGTCATTCCAGGAGGCAGAAGCGCTAGCAAAGCAAGAGGCGTGAATTCTTCCTCCCTCCTGGCCTCAAGCCTTAAAGTTTCTGCAAAGAGAAAGTTCCGCAGCTTTTTTTCCTGCAATAGCAAAATCCGGTGTGCTTGGAGGACAAAACAAAGGTTTTGTCCCCCTCTACAATGTTCTGCCATATACGATTAATAAGATAGAACGTCAAATAATATGAACAAGAAGAAGAAGAATTGCAAATGTGCCTCAAGGCCAAAAAGAAAGAAGGAAATTAAATGAAGCCTGTAAAAACTCTTGATTTTTGCCTCTCCCAATGGATGTAATTTGTTCTCTGGCAGTTGCATAAAAGCCCCCCCCCCCTTTTCTTTGGGTAAACTTAACAAAAGCATTGTATTTTTGCTATCCGTAACACAGATCTATAATTACACTTGCAGATCCAACGGCTTAAACAAAAGAGAAAACTTAGCTGCAGAAATGTTTATTAATAAACTCCAGTGCCTCTGCTGCCTCAAAACCCAAAATGAAAAATAAGATGTCCTAAGGTTGACTTTTGTTTTAATGGTTATTTCTAAAAGTTGCAATGTAGCGTAGTAATAGTTGTAATTACTTGCCGTGGTTAGGATATTTCTAGAGTTCTCCTTTGTTATTTTGTAGTGTAGATTGATGCTATTGGAATCTCATGAATGGAATAAGGGCAGGATTTGCCAGGGTTGATCAGAACACAATATAAATGTCATAGGGAGGTCTGTGTTTATGAATAAAGGCAAGGTTTTTGTGCAGTCTTAGTGAAATATCCATTTCTAACCCTCTGGAATTATGAAGGAGGCAAGACAACAACAAAATAATTCTTATTTTTCTAAAATGTGAAGCAAATGTAATATGGGGCCAAAATTCTATTGTTATTTTTTTTTTAAAATTAGAAATAAGGTCAAGTAATTATGAGTTAGAATAAAACTTAGTTTGATATATTGTTTGTAAAATGTTTCTGTGTAAGATGAGATATATTGAGATCAAGGGTCCAGTATAAAATAAAATTGAATAAAAGTAATTTGCAGGAGTAAAGCTTGTGAAGCCCTATGATACAGGAAATCTAAATTAGATTTTTCAGTCTGGTTGCGCAATGCCGTGAACTTACTTTTAGCAGTTTGTCAAACTCCTAGTATTTTTGCTATATGCAACAATTATCAAAGTTACAGGCAAGAACTCTACCCCAAGACACATTTTAGTTACAAGTAATATTGAAAAGTGTGTGTCTCCCTTCTATGGATTTGGAAAGATGTAGAAATGGAACTGAATCTCAAGGCCTTAATCAAATTATATCAAGATAGATATATCCACTAGAAGAGCATAATCTGCAGCTCAGGGTTGAACTGTGGGGTTCTTGATGCTCTCTGAGCTTGGTGGTTTGCTTGCAGACATTTCATTACCCAACTATCCTAGACTAAGCCAAATCCAAAAACACTATGGAATTCCTGGAAGCTTGGCATTCAGACAAATTAGCCATCAATAGACACATAGAAATAAACCATATTTACACACCATTCAAAAGAGACAACAAAAAGCTAAGAAGGAAACAGACCAGAACACATCCCCTCCAGCAGCCAACACCCAGATAAGCAGGGATTAACACCAGACAAACAAACAAGCAGAAAACAATACTCTAATCAAGGAACTACCAAGGAGAAAACCACATCCCCACCAACACAGACAGGGCAAGCTACTGTATATAAACAGGGAGCAAGCCCCACGTTCCCTAGCCCTGATGATGTTACTTAGTTGGGTAAAGAAATGTCTACAAGCAAACAAGCTCAGGGAGCACTAAGGGCTCCACAGACAGATATATGTTGCTTTTTTATCTCATGGACATTATACTCTCAGCCCATGTGGAGGACACAAGGTTAAAGTAGATGAGTCCATCCAAATATCCCCTTCCCCACGTAAATTAATAATACATACAAAAACATGAGTTTTATTACTTGGAATTCCTTCCAGTTGACATGGTTCCCTCTGGAACCCAAGCTGTGTAGGAATTGACTAACTTTGTAAACTCTACATGATTTTATCTGCGTTAGCTTTCATGGAGCCTTTGAAAACTAAAGTACAGTAATCGCTTCTCCTTTGTGTGACAGCTTGACCTGCGTTTCTGGAAAATGTTTAGTGTGGTGTTTTTGTCTGGAAATCTGCAGTACGTAGAGGGTCTGGTTTTACAAGCTCCGAACTCCAAAAGAAAAGAGGGCCATCTCTGCACAGTTCATATTATATGCTTTTGCACCCATGATCATTCCTAGTTGATCCTGGCTCTGTGCTCAGATTAGACAGAAAATACGCTGCAGGCTTGTGATAGGTTTTGATGGTAAGAGGCTCAGACAGGACAATTCCTCTATTCGGTGGCTGTAAAAGGTTCACAAAATAAAGTTTTTTCACCAAAATATGTTAATCTAAATATACCTTATGTTCCTAATTCATTGCCATTGGAAAGCCTGTGTTAGAGGACCTATTCCATCTTATCTCCTATAGTCTACGCCTAATGTTTTATTTCCGATTCCTGTTTGAGTGATCCTGTACTCTAATTTCATTAATTTTGCATTAAAAGAGTATATTGTAACTCAAATTTGTTATACTCTAATTTCTTATAAGCCGTCTCTTGTTATTCTCATACTTATCCTGTAAGTACATCTTTGTGTGATGTCTTCTATCATATATCTTCTATTCTGCATTTTTGTATACTCTACAACTACTCCAGGCCTGCACTTTCCCTCTTAAATAGCCCTACCCAGCGAGCCTTGTGGTTTTGGTTTGATTGTCATTCTCAGGAGCCACGTTGTCCTTGGCAGTTGTCCTTTTGCTGTCTGCTGTTATCCTGAATGAGTGCCATGCGCTGGCCTGCTATGTGGAGTTGTGGTAGTTTGGGCATCCTGCAGCTCTCTGACTGGCCCTGCTATTCCTCACCTTTATTCAGCTTTCCATGTCTTCATGCAAATCTTCTTTCCATTTTTGCTGGCTGCCTCTTTTGCTCCTTGTGGCTTCAGAGCCCTGCGGTTGAGGTTTCCAATCTCTGGGTCTCTCTGCACCTTGTGCTTGCATGTTGCCTAGGCTGTGGTCACTGGTTCCTTGATCCCACCAACCAGTGCATCATCCTTATCTATAGAAGCCTTGCTGTTTGTCCATTACCAACTCTGATGTCCTGCCTAGTCTCTGATGTTCTCTGCTGCTGGCTGGGAAGGGGATCTACTGTTGCTGGCTTCTCCTAGTTCCTCTTCAGGCCTTTTATTACCCACCTTCACATCTATCAAACCTTGGCATCATTTCAGGACCTCAACAATCTCAGCTCTTCTCTCATAATACCACTGCACTTGAGCCTCTCTGGCTGGCAGTCCTCTTCTTTCTGCTATGACCTTCTCTCCAGCCAATGCCTCCAACTGCTTTGTTCCCTGCTGCTCTTCTGAACCATCCCTTGGCATCTTCTGAGCATTCTCCGATGTCCTTTGTTGACCCTGCCCTAGTCTTACTGCTGTCACTGCTGCTCTCTCCAGTTGCTTTGCTACCATTGCTGCCATGCCATCATGGAATTACCCTTTCCAGATCTTCTCAGGGCTTCAGCTTTTTCTTTGGGGGCAATACCCTTTGGTCTTCTCCAGTAACCCCTTTATTTCTGTGATGCCAGTGATCTCCTGACTTCTCATAGAGTGATGACCATGTGGTTAAAAAGGGCTAAGCCCTTTTTAAAAGGCCCAGCACATTGTGATTTGCAGGTAGAACCCTACAAAATGGGATGGGGAAAGACTGGGATGGGTGCCTTCCTAGCTGCGTGCCCTTCCTTCCACAAAACTCATACTTGTTCCTCTCCTGTCCTTTGATATGCATTTCTAGATAATGGGTAACTATGGTTACCACAATATTTGACTTTATTGATTACTAAGGGCTTGCTTCCAGATCACGTTTGGTAATCTTATTCAATTCACAGCTTCAGGCATTCTGTTGGATGCACACTTGGAAGAAATCATTATTAAATTATGTCCCATTGATTTCAACTTGAATAAGCTTGGATCCAACCGATGATTGGGAAGGTGATGTTATCCATGGTTTTCCCAATTTATCTTGTTTGTACTAATGCATGTTAAAAACAAAACAAAACAAGGAGCTGATAATTTACACAGGAGGAACAAGGGTGCGCACAAGCCATGCATATTTGTGATCCTTCACCTGAACCATGACTTAATCCATCATTCATGAACTAGTGTGTCATAAATATAGGAAGAAAGAATTTTAAAGTCTGAGACATAAGGGGGCCCTGTAGACAAAAGATCTGCTGTGGCCAATATCTCTAAGGACCTGATTCATACTGTCTATTTGCCCACGTGTGCCGAGTCATTCAGGACTGCAGAAAGGTAGTGTGAATCAGTCTTTGTTTTGACAATCTTTTTTTCTCCATCATACTAGCATCAGCCAGGATTTCTGATTTGTCAGTGTTCCTGAGAAATTATGTTAAGGATATGCTGGGATTATTCCTATGGTGAAATCAAATTATGGATGTTTCCCATAGGAAGGGACACTGGTAAATCTGTTTATGATTGTGGCCCATTTACAGAACTTGCAGAAATGGTATTTTTTAAGGTGCATGTGTGCAACTGGGAATTTAAGACTTTGCTTATGTATGCAAATTAGGAATTTGAGTTGATTGCCTAAAAGGATTCTTTTATATCTGGCATAAAAAAGACCTTTTAGTTCATTAATATAGCTATTTTAGGACTTGTAAATGTAGCTCTTGAAACTTGCAGCATGGACAATGTGTGGTGTACTGTATGAAGATACAAAGTCTTGGATTCCTGAGAGTCTATTTACCAACCCAACTCTCTTCCAGTAATTATGGTGTGTGTCACTCAGGCAAAAACCTAGAGGAAGGGGCAGTTGTTCCTTTATGAAGTATTCTTATCTGGCAGTTTTTTTTGGGGGGGGGGATCACAACAGAAATCTGCACATTTTGGAAAGTAACTCTGTCTGTTCTGGAATATATGTTCTTTGAACAGTGCCCTGGAAAGAATTTACTGATTTTTCTTTTTTTATTAACTCTGTAATTGGTAAGGCATACTCATTTTACTTATTAACTCTTATTATATTTTTACAGTGCAGTAAAGCAATTTCAAATGCTTTGCAAATGGAGTAGTCTTGCTTGCTTAATGTTTGCGTGCATGCATATTTCCTCCTCTTTTCCAAAACTCTACAAAATTATCTGCTGCAAGTTTTGCTAATGCAGCCGTTTTCTACCATTTGTCACTGGGATGATAGCCCTTTGAGAATTTTGGCAGCTGCTGATTGCCAGGTTAGCATTTTGTAAAATATTACAACTTCTCCAGTTGAAGTGCAGCGATGTGCTGATGGATGGTAGTTTACATGCGTGTAAAGAAGATCAGACTCTGTTGGCAGTTAGTGGAAAAATGCATCTCCCTCCAAAATCAGTAGGAAACAATTGTGTGATCATCAATCATAACAACAGCATGAAAAAATAAAAATTTCTTCATAGGAAGAGTATGCTAGCAGATTAAGAGGACTGGAAGTCTTAAACCCTGTATACAGAGATTTTTCTCCCTCCCACTTTTATTTTTGGATACGTATTAGCATTCAGTTATGTGAATCTCTATATGCAGTGACAGATTCCAGATGCAGGTTTACTAAACTGAGATCTGCTGTGCAGACTTTGTCTTTAAAGTCTGGGAAAGTTTAAGACTTGCCAAATGTTCAGGTGCTTCGAATTTAAATCCCCAGAGGATCATTGCTCTTTACTTTATAGCTACTTTTTAAAATAACAATTATGACTTTTTATCAAACTCCTTTTAAGACTGTTTTATGTCCTGTTCCTTTTCCTAATTGATAGTGGTTGACATTTAATTTTTTTAAACCCTTCTTTTCCCCGCTTCATGATGTCTGTAGGCTTTGAATTGGGAAAGTTCAGTTAGATTTTTTTTTTTTTTAAGTATTTAATGGGAATCTCAAATTTTTGAATAGATTTTTATTTTGTCTGTTCAGTTGGTTTTAGTCATGGTAATGAGGACACTGTAACGACTTCCAGATTCCAGAAAACTGTAGTAAAAGCTGCACATCTTCTGTTCACTCTGCTGTTTTCTGTTATAATAATGCAATTTCATAATAAATTTTTCTACTTTTACACTCAAAATAATCATTGTTATTTTTAACTTTGCTGCACGTTAGATGATCACCAGCTTTTTAGTGCCTAGGGATCCACTTTATACTCTGAAGATTTTCTTTCTTATCATCAATACATTCTAATGGCTAACTCGGGTTGTAGAGGCCAACAGAAATGGGACCACTGAAACTAAAGGGAATTTATCAGCATGGTTTTGGGTTCTACAGTACAGAAATGTCTTTTTTAAAAAAAAAAACTTTTTGGAAGTTTTGGAAAATCTCTGCTTCCAAATCAGTTCAAGGATTGATCCAAGTTAAAGGCAACACCTGTATCTGAATCGTGTTTCTCAAAGGAGATGGAATAGCTCTCAGAGTAACTTCACTTTATCATTGTATTCATCCAGATAGTGTTGGTATCCAAAGTGCCAACTTCAAGAGATAATTAGATTTCATTTGGTCTTTCACTCTGGTGTTCCAAAAGGGTCTAAAATCTATCTTGTAGGAGAGAGTCCAAGGGGGTGTGTATAACTGTAGGCCCACCCACCTACAAGGTGGCTCACTTTTTGTGTTCCCCTACTCTCAGGGAAATGTACAAAATACCTTGGCCTGCCTTGTCCTCATAGTAAACTTTACGATAAACATTTTTTTGCCATCCTTGTGTCTTTCACAGGGGTTGAATCTCTTTAACATACAAAATTCCTATTTTATTTGAATTTTAAAAAATGGTTTAAATATTGAACACCTATGTAAAGCAATATCTTCAAACAGTTGCCTGATTTTTGGCCATTCTGTCTACAGCTGCTACCTTAAGGAATTTCTTAACTTCTTCATTTTCAGTTGCTTCATACAGCATCTCAAAGTCCTAAAACAAATACAAATGGTAGATGTTAATTGAATCAAGAAACCAGTAGGACACTGGTATGAAGGTCACTGAGCTCCAGAATGCTGTTACTGCTGAATTTTAATCCGATTATCCTGCATTCAAATCGCCATTCCATTACTAAGATTACTGGATTATACCAATAATTCCTTGAATTCACATATCACATTAAACCATGATAATGAGATTCACAGAACATGCTAAGCCGGAATGAAACCATATTATAGATTATCATGATCTGAGAATTCCGTGACTATCAACCTTTCTTTGCTAACTTGGGTTGTTGGAAGGAGAAATCAGAGAAGAAAGCTGCATGGCAGGCCAAACTTGATAAGTCATTCCAACTTCTATGTCCTGAGATGGTAGAAATATGTGGTTTCCTGTATGTACAAGCAAGGATATTTTCCAGTTGAAGACAATGGACCTTCTGTGGGAACAGCTTAACCTTCAGCAAATCTGATTGGTTGGTGATCCATAAGAATGGGGACATGGTTTGGAACTTTTGTGCATTTTGGCATAGTTCATGCATTGTATTTTCCCTATTTTTCCCTCCCTCCCTTTTTTTCTTTTTTCATTTGGAAATAATAGGATAATGAATGTGTAATGGGCACTGTGGAGGATTCTGATGTTTGAAGGAGAAACAAACGGGGGGATAATGCCAATGCAGGAAGGAAAGAAGCAGGAGTGGGGAGGAGATGAATAAATTCCAGGATTTTTTTCCTTTTTTTTGGAGGGGGGATTATGAAAACATTGTACTCACAAACAAAATACATTTTGAATAACTATGTTTTTATTCACCTTCAACTGGTGTAGTCCAACTTGTTTTCCAGCCATTAAAACAGAATCCATAATTTGGTTGCCTCCCCCAGTCTGATTTTTCTTACCCCACAATACTCCTCTCCATTAAATATCTGGGGTGGGATTGCATCAGCCTTGCCAGCTTTGTCCCTCATCTCTTGCAGCAAACTTTCACTGACAGAGACATCCACTAACTGGTACTTCATGTGATTTCCATCCAGAATTCGAAGGACCTCAGACTGCCTCTGCTTTACCTAAATAGAAACCAACAGTTTTGGTGAAGAGAAGTTAGATGGTAGAGATTTTCTGCGGTGCCTCAGGTCTAAGAACATCTCTTACATTTAAAATCCAGGGCTTCCCTCGGGACTGCCATAATCCTCAGCTTACGATGATTGTGGGTTTTAGCTAGAAGTGCTGGAAGCTAGCTTTGAAGATGCTTTAGGTCAAAAGTGGGTGACCCATAGTTGGGGCTTTAGATGCAGTTTCCTCAGAGCTCATGCCCACTTTTTGAGCATAGCCCTTAACATGCTCAAACCAAAATGCAGGTAACCTCCCCCCACCCACTCAAATTTCCCATCCCTATTTTAGTAATTTTGCATTTCCCTCCTTCCTGCCCCTAGCCAAGGTAAAGTCACTCTTTATATCATAATGGATTCTTTTTACATTAAAATGTTGGTGATGGGGTGGAGAAAAGGGGTGCATCCATTAACAAAGCCACATGTGTATAGGTAACAATTCTCAGCATATTGCCTTAAGCCCCGAGCTTACAAGAAAGCTGCTTATGGATCATTTTGCTACAGAAACAAGAAAGAGTCCAGAGAACTAATTATTACTATCTTAACCTGTGCAGAAATGTCATTTGGATGCCCATCCCTGTATGCTGCTCCTGCTAGTTGCAGATTCTGATGTTTTAGTCTTTGCATTACTTTCTTGTAGTATGCATTTCTCCTGATTTTTCTGAAACTAATTTATTTTGAGCCATATTTTGTGATGTTTCCATTTTTAAAAGAGAGTGCCAGTTTTCAAATGTTAAAAAAATGTGTCTTGAACTAAATGCCTGCATTAGGAATTACTTTTGCTTCTAGCAGATGGCAGATGTTGGTGGAGAATTATAGAATTAGATATATTTTTAAATTAAAAAAAAAGGAAGCTTTCTACTTCTAAAGATTAATTTAAGTACACCACACCTTTGAACTTATGTGATTGCTGACTGCACTCTTTGGATAATGGTAATGCACATGAAGACCCTCTCCAAATCCATCGAATTTTAAATGTTTCTAAGCTATCTGGCATTTTTAAAAAGTCTGATTCTCTTTCCTTGACTAGCAGCTCAGTTAATTAGGGCTATAAGCTGGTAGAAAATTGAGACATAAAACAGACAGAAAAGCTATCAGTTGAAGAATCCTAGGAAGAACCTTTCTCCTGAAGGTAAAAACCTTCACAGGCAATTATTACTTGTTATAGGTTTGTTACTGAAGGTTTTAAATGTATTTTTATTCCTACTGTGGTATCTGCAAACTGCCTAGAGTCCATAAGAACTCAGGCGGTGGATGAAATGCATCAGATACATAGATGCACAAACACTCTTGAATTGTCAGTCAAGGCTTGAGAATGAGGTCCAGCCGTGGCCAACCATCATGGACAAAGCGTCCCCCTTCTCAGCAGCTCCGAAGTAGCCCAGAGGGGGCGAGCTGGAGCCCCTGCACTGGGGGGGGGGGGGTTTG